ATTTGCTTTAAGCTTCCTTTTTGAAGAATCTTGTTTGGACACATTCAAAAGTGATTATTAAAAGCTAACAGTTAAAATTTTCTAGGAATCACTTACCTCTAAACTGTGTAATTATACAAAAGGAAAACTTATTCCTTCATAAGTACCTTTGAAGATTTTACATGAAAAAAGAAAAAAAGGCAGGTTGTGTCAGTATTTTTTAAATTGATTATATATATTAAAATGATAATATTTTAGATATGTTGGGGTTATAAAATATTGAAAGTAATTCAACCTGTTTCTTTTTACCTTTTTAATGTGGTTACTAGAAAGCTTTGCATATGGTTGAACCCACTTCTGTTAAACTGTGCAACTTTACTGTTGTGGACTGGTAACTTCAAGTTTGGTGGTATGGGAGTTTTTCATTTCACATTCTTTTTGTCTTTCTCTGTTTCAGAAGAAAAACAGCAAACAGAAAGGGTTACAAAAGAGATGAATGAATTTATCCACAAAGAGCAAAATAGCTTATCGCTACTAGAAGCAAGAGAAGCAGACGGTGATATGGTTAATGAAAAGAAAAGAACTTCAAATGAAACTACATCAGTTTTAGAACCCAAAAAAGAGCATAAAGAAAAAGAGAAACAAAGAAGTAGATCAGGAAGTTCTAGTAGTGGAAGTTCCAGTAGCAATAGCAGAACTAGTAGTAGTAGTAGTACCGCCTCTAGCTCTTCATACAGCTCTAGCTCAGGTAGTAGTCCTACTTCTTCTCGGTCTTCTTCTCCTAAAAGGAAAAAGAGACATAGTAGGAGTATCTCCAACAATTAAAGCTAGACGTAGCAGAAGTAGAAGCTACTCTCGGAGAATTAAAATAGAGAGCAATAGGGCTAGGGTAAAAATTAGAGACAGGAGGAGATCTAATAGAAGTAGTGTTGAAAGAGAAAGACGAAGAAATCGGAGTCCTTCCCGAGAGAGACGTAGAAGTAGAAGTCGCTCAAGGGATAGACGAACCAATCGTTCCAGTCGCAGTAGGAGTCGAGATAGGCGTAAAATTGAGGATCAACGTGGAAATCTTAGTGGGAGCAGTCATAAGCATAAAGGTGAGGCTAAAGAACAAGAGAGGAAAAAGGAGAGGAGTCGAAGTGTAGATAGGAAAAAGAAAGACAAAGAAAGGGAGCGTGAACAGGATAAAAGAAAAGAGAAACAAAAAAGGGAAGAAAAAGATTTTAAGTTTAGTAGTCAGGATGATAGGTTAAAAAGGAAACGAGAAAGTGAAAGAACATTCTCTAGAAGTGGTTCTATATCTGTTAAAATCATAAGACATGATTCTAGACAGGATAGTAAGAAGAGTACTACCAAAGATAGTAAAAAGCATTCAGGCTCTGATTCTAGTGGAAGGAGCAGTTCTGAATCTCCAGGAAGTAGCAAAGAAAAGAAGGCTAAGAAGCCTAAACATAGTCGATCGCGATCCATGGAGAAATCTCAAAGGTCTGGTAAGAAGGCAAGCCGCAAACACAAGTCTAAGTCCCGATCAAGGTAGTATACTTTTTAAAGTATTTTGTCTGATTTTTAAAAAAAAAAATTGACTGAATTTATTCAAAGTTGAAAGTGTCCTTTCTCTCTCTCTCTTTAATAAACTCAGTTTGGTACTTGATAAATGATCATAGTTTTAAATAATGTTAGAAATCCTAATAATAGTATTTATTTAAAATTGAAGAACTTTAGTTTAAAATACATTTTTATTTTTAAATTTTGTCTTTTCCCTTTTTTTTCAGATCAACAACCCCTCCCCGTCGTAAGCGCTGAGGAATGATGTGGCAAGAATGCCATGATGTTGTTTAAAAATTCCATGAGTTTAAAGGGCTTGTCTCATTATAGAGGCACATTGTGGCTGTGTAGGTGAAACCAGAATCTTTTTTTTTTTTTTTAATCTGTACATAGGTGTACTTTTTCCAAATGCTGCTCCAAGTTACTTAATAGGATTTCTTTGTATTACATTTTTTCAAAAAATAGTGCATAATAAGACTATAAACATGCCATTCTCTTTCAGCTGTAATGTTCTTAAAATTACTCTTGAATGTACTGTGATGTCAATAAAGCTCTTTAGTTCATTTTTGTTAAACTCTTGCACCTTAATTTTATGATTTTAATCTAAGGAACGTACTTTTATAAAATGGCAGCTGGAATTTTGTATAACAGGTTTTAAAGGTACTTCTTCCCACCTTCCCCAAAGAAAATGGTTTAACTTAATAGTTTGTCAAAGTTTGTATATTGTACCCATGGACTTGTCAAATTCTAACTTTCAGAGTGTGGAAGAGGGCCAGAAAACGACCTTTACTTTTCATTTGAAAGCATTTGACCAGCTTTCTAAACTTTTCTTCTTGTTAGGGGGATTTTCAAGTAATATATTCTCTGTGTGTATAAAATATGGTTCACTCCTGTAAAATGAAATTGCTGGAATCAATCAAGCCAGTGCACCACTAGAGTTATTTGTAATGAACAGTTGTGTTTGACACTTAATAATCAAGTCTGGAACTATGTTTTACAGTCACCACTTCTCTTTAAACATGTTGGGGTTACTATAGAAATAGTACTTACAACTCAGCATATTTATTTATATTTTTAAAGTATAATGTGACCTCAGCTCAGTTTAGAAATACTGTATTATGCAGGTTTCTGTCAACTGCATAGCATTAAAATGGTCTGATTTTGTCAGTTTCCAAAAATTATGGTCAGTGGCTGGTCTTGTTTAAGGCAGTCATAACTTAAGAGTGGAATGAGGCTCTCAAGAATTTTAACTTAAGTGCTCAACTGCTTTCAGGGTCCATTTTTTATGATTATGCACTTATGCAGTGATAGATGAATCTTTGAAAACAAATGCTTTTAAATTTTAATTTAAAAAGAAAAAGCAAGTGCAGGACACAGAAAAGTTTTAAAGTATGCCTTCTTACAAGCAATAGTTAATTTTAAAAATAATGCCAGATTTTTGCCAAGATCAGTGTTTTCTCAAAATAAAGATTAAAATAGATTTGTATGGTGTGCTCTTGTACCTCTACTAGGTTCTTAAATAATTTTGAGCAGTTATGCATTTATCTAAAGGATATAAATCAACTGTGAATAAATGCATGTTTACCAAAATGGCTGTTTACAGTGCATTTAGTTCTGATGTTTATAAAGTTGACATTTCACAGAATAACTTTAAAATAGTTTGGAATTCTATATAGTTTAGTCATCAGTAACATCTGGAGACAGGAAAATGTGCAATATTTTTATGTAGGTAAGCTAACAGTGTACCTAATTGAATTACCTGATTAATTTGTAAGTTGTATAACATTTTCATATCTTGAAATGTTTTTAGATCAATCTTCAAGTGAATTATTTTCAAAATAAAATTCTACAGAAAAATCTGGCTATGATATAAACATTTTTGGACAAGATAGGAGCTAGAGCTGAAAAAAATTTAAGTTATATTTGTTCTGCCATAGTTTGCAAGGTTCTTAATGTGTTTAAATCTGTAGATTTAAAAGAAAACAAACAAAAAAAAAACCCAGTACCCACAACATTTGTGATTACTAATAGATACATCACTGTTAGAATTAAATATTTGGGTTTTTCAGATTTTTATCTGAAAAATGGTAAGATTTTATGAAATAGGGCTTCCATGGTTTAGGATGTATATACTAAAACACAAAGGTTAACTAGATACAGAATTTGATTATGAAATTTTTCAAAAGTGACACCAGAAAATTAATAGATTCAACTTTTGAGACAGTCATTGATCTAGTTTGGATAGTAGAAACTGTCTTTAAGAGATTCTCTTAAAATATTTCTAGTGTATTAATCATACTTGTTTTTGTGGAGTGGGGATAAACTATACCTTAAGAGAATAAATGTCATTAGGAAGAGGTAATTGCAAGATTTGTTTCAGGCCCCAAAGTATAAATAAAGGTTGGTGTGGAATCTTCATTTAGTGCACATGGTGTCTGCCATTTTGTTGGCATTTTTTTCTAATGGAAAAACCTAATACATAATAGGTGAAATCCCAACCATAGTCTATTTTTTAGTGTGAATTACTTTGCTTCTTCAAAGAAACACATGAAGTGTAATGATGGATGAATTTTTAATTTTTATTTGGAAATTTTTACATACGACTTAGGTCCTTATGGATGCTTTTACATTTAAGTTTTTCTTCTCCTGTATAAATTAAACTATTTTAATTTATTGAAATTTCTAAACTATACTAAGACTAGTTTAATGGAAGTAGTACAGTAATTGCATTTAACCCAGCTCTGGCAACTGGTTTAGGCAAATCACCGAATTCTTATGGGCCTCAACTACACCTATATAAGAAAGGAATCAGGTGATCTCAAAAGTCATTGAACACTTCTAGTCTTTAAGTTCTTCAGCTTTAAGTAGAATTTGGTTGTAAAGTCTAGAATCTGGAGCAGAAAGCGAGCTTTTTTAATTAGCAACACACAAGTTACATTTGTATCATAAAACTTATCAGGTATCCACAGTTTTCCTATAAAAGTTATATCTTGGTTATATCTGCACATTCTGGTTATGATAGTGCAAATTATGATATAATTATCCTCAGTAACCAGTTAATGTAGAATTTTTTGAGTAAATATGAAAATTTGCCACTTAATCTGAGTGGGTGTAGTATATTATTTCAAAGGGGTAAAACTTAAGTCCTTTGGGACTGGGAAGTATGGCTCAAGCAGTAGAGTACCCCCCCCAAAAAAAATCCTTTTTCCAGGCTCTGGAGGCCCAGGCCTATAGTCCTAGCTACTTGGGAAGCTGAGATCGGGAGGATGGTGATTTGAGGCCAATCTGCTTCTCACCCAGCCCTCCAAAAAGAAATGTGAAACTCCAATGGGAAAAAAAAAAAAAAAGCTGGACATCGTGGTACACATCTGTCATCCTAGCTGCTGTGGGAAGCATAAAATAGGATCATGGTGCAGGCCGGCCAGGGCAAAAAATGAGACCCTATCTCCAAAATAACCAGGGCCGGAAGTGTGTCTCAGGCAGTAAAACACCTGCCTAACAAGCACAAAGCACTGAGTTCAAGCTCCAGTACTGCCAAAAATTAAAATAAGTCCTTACTTGGCTTTGCATGTAAAATTAAATTCCAAGGTATTAAATAGGTGTTAAAAGTTACCAGTTTCCAACACATTTGTAACTGAGATCATAGAAACAGTCTAGGAAATGCCTCCAACAATGGCACATACTGCATTATGGTAAATCCAACTACTTCAACACAGTTCAGGTTTAAGGGTCATTGGAAAAGCTTTCCGCTGATGTTTAGAGAAAAGTACTTTGAGATAGTGTTGTATAGCTGGGCCAAACTCCCTCAGGGGATTCAAAAGAATTTTCCTACCAGAATTAAGGCAAATCCATGATTGCTTCTGTTGAACTGAAAATTTGTGGGAAGGCTCTGAAGTCCACTGCGGTATGGTACATTCAAATGAAGCACAAAGCATATGCATAAAGTTCTTAGTGGTTTTTTCCCCCTCGAATCTGTTACTTCAAGACGTATAAGACATACTAAATTTTCTTTTGTGCAAAGCTTTCTGCTTTTACTACATCTAAAGAGGAGATCAAAGAGAACATAGCTACGAGCCTGCAACCATTTAGGCTCAGGAGCTGTAGGTGAAACACTACTCCTGAGTAGTAAATTTCCCTAGTTAAAAAGAACCTTAGCTTATTTGAGCTTACCTGTTGAAAATGTAGAATTTTTTTTTTTGCCTTAAGTGTTGGAAATTTGTTACTCCTATGCAAGAAGGACTTTTGTACGTTTAGAAATAAAATGTTACCACTGTTCCTAGCTCTAAATGAAGTTGCCTAGACTGAGTAATAACAGTTTTCTGCTATATAATGTATATTGCATCCAGGATATGTTACTTGCAGAAAATAAATTTTAAATTTGGGCTTCTGGCCCTAAATAGTATTTAAGTGCCTTGAAAGGGAAACAATTCTACCCTTAGGGAAGAAGTGCTTCCATGTTTTCGTGATTTTAAGCATTAGGATCAGTGCGTTACAAGAATTTAAATGCCCTTGGGGACACTCAAATATGAAATGCAACTACTAGGAATAAAAGATAACAGCACACAGTAGCATGGCTGATGTCTAGTACGTGGTTTGAGGTGGTCATATAGGAATAGACAGGATATTCAAAGTCATTTATAGTATTGGTAAGATTTTACAAATTCATTGCATAAACAGTTTGTTAGATGTTGAGCTTGAATGGTAAGGGGCCACACATTCATTGAAACACAGAAGTCATTTGAGTCTCGGAACCTTTCTGTTGGGGATCTGTTGCAAGAGGGACCGGAAAAGGAGTTGGATTCTTGTCGCGATGTGGGGAGGCCGGAAACTGAGCTCCAGCGGGAGTCGTGTTTTAGGAATGCTTGGCTCTGGGTTCCGGAGCACACAAGCCGCGGGACGTCTCTTAGCTTCGTGGGCGGGTGAGTTGTGCGGAGGTCACTCATGCATCCTCCCTTTCCACGGTGTGGACGGGCGGTTCTGCGCAGGCGCGGGGAAGGGCGGTGGGCTCCCAGCACAGAAGCTGCGGCTCGGGACCCCGCCTGGGCTCTGCATTGAGCGTGTGGTGTAGGTGTGGTCCCCTTGTTTGCAGAGGCTGAGAAAAATGTGGGGACTAGAGGTCCTGGCCGAGAAGAGCGCGACCGCAGGCGGCCGCCATCGTCCCGTGACCTTTGCCTCGCTACAGTTGAGCTGCCCGCCGGATCGCGCCGCCCACGCCGTCAGTGCGGCCTCTGACGGTTCTGCCTGCAGCCTCTCCGGGCAGGAGACACGCGGCTGGTCTCACCATCATTCTGGTTCTGTGTGCCCGTATCTTGCTTTTTTTTTTTTTTTCCTTCAAATATTCAACATGTTTGCAAATAAGATGAAGAAAATAATTCATTGCATTTGACGCAGTCATTAGATGACTGCCTGATTGTTGAACTCTCAGCATTATTAATCAGAAAGTTAACTTCATCCCCTACGTGCAACTCAATAGCTCTTGTATGGTAGGAACTGCCATTGGCACTGAGAATTTAAAAATGAATACTTAAAAAGTCTTTTTAAAAAACAGGATAAAACTAAGATGAGGCTATGAGGGGAAAAAAGGAGGGGGGGAGGTGCTAACAGCCTACTAGTAGAGTTAGTTAGTTGTTACCCTCATACAGTAAAAAGTAGTACAGCCAATACAAACGATTTAAATCCATTTGTATCCACATGGGAAAATGGTTAGGGTATAGTTTTAAGGACAAAAGTTGTAAGTCAGTATGTAAGTTTGATACATAGATATAGGTGGAGTTATATACCCAGTTTTAGCAATGATTGCCTATGATGGAGTAGGTATCATTTAAATACTTTTTTTCTGATTTTTAAAAAGTAAACATATGTCTTTTATAATCAAATTTAGAAAAGAACCAGTAAAACCATCTCCAGATTTTGGAAGGTGAACATACAAAGAACATTTAACCCATATTTGGGATCAGGAGAACTTCTTGAATGAGATACTTAGACAACTGTCTTGAAGGAGTTGGCCAGTTTCAGAAGCACTTAGAGAGGGCAAAGAACCAGTGAGAGAATCGGGGAGGAGTTTTGTCACAAACTACAAAGTGTTCCTTGAAAAGTGAAGTGTGTGGATGGAGAACAGGAAATGAGGGTAAGGGATGGGATCAGAGACCTTTGGGATGGTTGTAAGTTCATGAAAAGCCATGTATTCCTCCTGAGGTGGTCTGCATATATGGAGCACTATAGAAATTAATGAAGGAGCAGTATAACCAGACTTACTTGTTTAAAAGAAGTAACCCTTGGCAGCTCTGTAGAAAGTGGGATGGGAATAGTCAGTTCTGGGCTCCAAGAGAGGCCTTTGAGGAATCCAGACAATAGACAATGATTGCTGAAAAAAAGTATTGGTAGGATGAAAGTGTTGCCTGTCTTGTTCACTACTGTAAGCATGATGCTGGTTAGGTGCTGAAAAAAATGACTTGAATGAATTAAATGAAGTTTCCCCCATTCCTTTAAACTCTTAAATAACTAGGATTCAAGTGAGAGAATTGATAGCACTCTGTTTATTAATACAAACTCGGTTGCTTTATGGTAATAAAGTTTTTAAAGCTCTTGAGAACTCTTTAACAATGCTCATGAGTGAGGAACTCACTTTCCAGAAATTGAGGAGGTCCCAGGGAGATCAAGGGTTGTCATGGAGGGCAAGTACTATTAACATCTCAGAGGTTTGGATTCATACTAGTGCCTTACGTATTCATATCTGTGTATCACACTTTACATAATTACTAATAAAGTCTCATTTACCTGTCTAAAGTCATATAGGAGCTGATAGCAAAAGGCAGATTAGATAGAGTTGGTGGAAGAGGGAGTAACATGAGCAAAAGCCGGGAAGCATGAACTTTATATATATAAAACACTACCATGTAATGTTGGGCCAGATTGAATGGCCTGTTAAAAAACAAAACAAAACAAAACAAAAACCCCATCTGATTGCTGGTGGTTCATATCTGTACTCCTGTTTGAAGCCAGCCCAGGTAAATAATTCACAAGACCCTATCTCAAAAATGCCCAACATAAAAAAGGACTGGTGGAGTGCCTCAAGGGGTAGAGTATCTGAACACCTGCCTAGCAAGCATGAAGCCCTGAGTTCAGACCACAGTACCACCAAAAACAAAAACAAAACAACAACAAAAAAACATAGCAAACAATAAAGAACCCAAGAGAAAACTATGCTTAGGCTAAAAAAAGGCAAAACATGTAGGTGACAGTTATACCTAAGAATGATAGTTAGCCTCACCATGATAAATTAAAACTATACTGATACACCATTTTCAGCCATTGGATTAGCAAAGATCAGAGCATTTGATTAACCTATTGTATAGGTAAGTGTGGGAGACCAGGCACTAGGCCCTCTTATATACTACCCATAAGATTTTAAATTGGTTCAACATCTGTGGGTAGCCATGACAAATTTATAAATGCACACACTCTTTGACATAATTCATGGGATTTCACCTATAGGTACTCTGAAACACATAGAAATTCCCTTTGTCATTCAATCTCATGATTTTGGTAGTAGCAAAAAGCCAAAATAATAACCTAAGTGCTCATTAATAAGGGACTGCTTAAGTAAATTGTGATATAGCCATACAATGGATTGCTGCACCACTATTAGTTTTATTTTTAAAAAAGGAACCTGTCTCCAAGACATATTGATGGCGGTGGGGTGGGGGTCAGTGTCCGAGAGCAAGATACGGAAGAGTATGTATATTCTGCTACGCTTTGTGTACAACGAGAGAAATTGATAAATTAAAATTATTGCATATGTATAAAATACTTCTGGAAGCTTACAAACAAATCTAGTAACATTAGTGGCCTGTCAGGAGAGAAATTGGAAAGCTGCAGTGAGGAAGGGAGGTACCCTTTTATACTTTGTGATTTTTTTTTTTTAAACTTTTTATTTTGAAATTATTTAAGAATCATAGGAAGTTGCAGACATAGTACAGAGTATATCCATATGTTCTTCGTCCATTTCCTCAATGATTACATCTTACATAACCATAGTATATTATCAAAGCCAGGAAAAATGATATGATCTAAACTGCAGACCTTATTTGAATTTCACTGCCTTTACATGCGTTCATTGTGTGTGTGTGTGTGTGTGTGTGTGTGTGTGTGTGAGTGTGTGAGAGAGAGAGAGAGAGAGAGAGAAATTCATCCTGTGTACAGATTTTCATAACAACCACCACAATCAAGATACATAATGACAAATTTCCTGGAGCTACTCTTTTATAATCAGATCCTACCCCTAACCTTAACCCTTGACAATCACTTACCCAGTCTCCATAACTATAATTGTGCCATTTCAAAAGCGTTATGTGTATATGTATGGAATTGTCAGTATATATCTTTGTATCTTTTAATATTGAGAGTTTTGCTCAGTATGAATACCCTTAAAACCCATCTAAGTTTGCATGTACCAGTAGTCCATTCCTTTTTATTTCAGAGTATAGTATGATATGAAAATACCATGGTTTATTTAGCTGTTCATTTATTATAGTCCATTTTTGTTGTTTTCAGTTTGGGCCCTTAAAAATAAAGCTGCTATAAATATTTATGTACAGGTTTTGTGTGGACATGACATGTTTTTCACTTCTCTGTGATAAATCACCAGGGAGTGAAGTTGTTGAATTGTATGGTAAATGTATGTTTTATTTTATTGGGAACCACTAGAGTGGCTTTACCATTTCACATTTCCACTATCAATATATAAGATGTAAGTAAGTCAGGCGTGGTGGCTCACTCCTGTAATATTAGCTACTCAGGAGGTGGAGGTTGAGAGGATTGGAGTTCCAGGCCAGCCAGGGCCAATAGTTCTCAAGATCCCATCTCAGTCAATAAAAAGCAGGGCATAGTGGCACACACCTGTCATCCCAGCTACACAGGAAACAATGGGAGTATTACAGTTCAGCCAACTCTGGCAAAAAAAAAAAAAAAAAAAAGCCTATTTAAAAAAATAACTAAAGCAAAAAGGGCTGGGGGCATGACTCAAGTGGTAGAGTGCTTGCTTGCCTTGCAACTTGCAAACAAAAGTTCCCTAATACAAACTCCATTACTTTAAGCAAAAAAAAAAAAAAAAAAGATCTAGTTCTTTCACATCCTGGGTAAAATCAGGATTTTTTAATTTTAGCCATTTTGATAGGTGTATGGTAGAATCTTACTGTGACATTCATTTGCATTATCCTAATGGCTCTTAGTATCGGACCATGTTTTATACTTATCTTCTAATTCTCATATCCTTTTTATAATTGGATTCCTTTTTTTGGGAGGGTGTTGGTTTTTATTATTGAGTTTAAAAAGTTCCTTACATGTTCCAGATACAAGTCCTTGGCCAGACACGTGTTTTGCACATATTTCCTCCCAGTCTGGGACTTACCTTTTCTTTATTTTACCAGTCTTGTGTAAGAACTCTGGGCCTAGATTTCTTCTAAGTCTGTAGTTTTGTATTTTGTGTTTAGGTCATTGATCTATCATTATGAATTCTTTTTTTTTCTGGGGTTTGAACTTAAGGCTTTATGCTTGCAAAGCGGCCCTCTACCACTTGAGCCACACCTCCAATATATTTTGCTCTGGTTATTTTGGAGATGGAGTCTCAAGACTCCACATTGGCCTCAACTGATCTCAGCCTCCCGAGGAGCTAGGATTACAGACATTAGCCACCTAGTAACTGGCCTTGAATTCCTTTTTGTAAAAGATATATGATACAGGTTGAAGGTTTTTTTTGCTTATGAAATTCAGTTGTTTCAATATCAGTTATTGAAAAAGACTGTCTATTGAATTGCTTTTGAACCATTGTCGAAAATTATTTGGGTGACTATTTGTTGGTCTGTTTCTAGATTCTTTTGTTCCAATACGACACTGTCTTGATTGTCTCTCTAATAAGACTTAAAAATGGTAGTGTGATTCCTGCAACTTTATGTTTTCAATATTGTTTTAGCCATTCTATTTCTTTTGCCTTTCCATGTATACTTGGAATCACTTTGTACTTAAAAAAACTAAACTAAAGCTGTTAGATTTTAATAGGAATTGTGATAAATGTGTAGATCAGTTTGAAGGAAATTGATGTCTACTATGTTGTCTTCAATCAATAAACGTAATATGTATCATCTTTATTGGGCCATCTGATTTCTTTCATGAGCATGCAACTTTGTAGTTGTTACTGTACAGGTCTTATACATGTTTTGTTAGATTTACATAATACTGAAAGTACTTCATTCTTTTTGAAATGATTTTGTACGAAAGGGCATTTTGAATTTTGCTTTTCAGTTGTTTGTTACTAGTGTATAGGAACATTTGTGTATTGACGTTGTAATCTTTGGCCTTGCTGAACTCACTTTTTAGTTGCAGGAACTTTTTAAATTTTAGTAAGAATGGTGAGAATGGACATGCCTACCTTGTTCCTGACTTTAGGGAGTACCTGATTATTCTTTCATCATTAATTTCTATGTGAACTGTAGCATTTTTATAGATACTTTGTAAAATAATTTTCCTTTGTTCTTAATTTGCTGAGAGTTTTTTTATCATAAATAAGTATGGGTTTTTGTAAAATGCTTTGTCTGCAAACCAGTATGATTGTATGTTTTCTCTTATTGTTATGTGATCAATTATATTCATTGATTTTCTAATATTGAACTAGTGTTACATGACTGGAATAAATCTCACTTGGTTGTGCTATTCTTTGTGTGTGTGTGTGTGTGTGTGTGTGTGTGTGTGTGTGTGTGTAATTCTATTGATAATATTTGTTGAGAATTTTGTGTCTGTTCTTGTGGTCTGTGTCCCTCACTCATGTTTTATGGAAGATTGTATAGAATTGATTGGCATTTCTTCTTTAAATGTTCAATAGAATTTACCAGTGAAGCTATCTGAGCCTGGAAATCTATTTTTAGCAGGCTTTAACTATGAATTCACTTTCTTTATTTATTATGAACTATTCAGACTATCAGTTTCATCTTTGGTGAGTTTGGGTTGGTTGTAGTTTTCAAGACAATTAGTCTATTTTGTCTGAGTTGTACAATTTCTATATGTAGAGTTGTTTATAGTATTCCCCCATCATCCTTTTAATGTCTGCCAGGTCTGTAGTGATACGTCCTCTTTAACTTCTGATATTGGTAACTTAGGTCTTCTCTTTGTCAGCTTTGCTAGAGGTTTATCAATTTTATTGATCTTTGCAATGAATCCACTCTAGGTTTTATTTGCTTTGCTTTCAATATCATTGATTTCTACTTTTATCTGTATTTTTTTTTTGCTTGCTTTGGATTTTTTGTTGTTGTTGTTCTGCTTTCCAAAGTGTCATCCCCATCCCCTCATGTATCTTTCCCCTACCCCAATCCTGGGAATTGAATTCATGGCCCACAGGTCTCCTTAGGGATCAAACCCAAGCTCTACCAGTCTACCGTTCACTTCTACCCCAGAGCTATACCCGTTTTCCTAGTTTCTTGAGGAAGAAACTTAGATTGTTAATTTGAGAACTTTTCTTCCAGTATCAATATTTTAACACTTGAAATTTTTTTAGTATTACTTAAAAATATCCACAGATTTTTATATATTATGTATTTGTTTTCATTTAGCTCACTGTTTCTGAAATTTTGTCTTTGGGTGATGCATTGTTTAGAAATATGTTGTTTAATTTTCAAGTGTTTTTCTCCGTTCATTTTCTCTTCCTGTTACTTATTTTAATTTGATTCTGTTGTAGTAAAAAACTTACTTTGTATAATTTTAACTGTTTTAAAATTGTGCAGATTTGTTTTATGTTCCAGGATACATAAAACAAATGGCCTATCTTTATGAATGCTCCATGCATGCTTAAAAGAATCTGTTCCAGTTTGGGTGGAGTGTTTTTTATTTTTCAATTAGATTTTATTAGTTGATGGTGTTGTTCAGTTCTAGATCTTTGCTGATTCTTTACCCAGTGGTTCTATCAATTACTGAGAGATGTTAAAGTCCTCTGTTATAGTTGTGGGTTTGTTTATTTCTGCTGATTTCAGTTTTGTAAATTTTTGCTTTTTGTATTTTGTTTTGATCAAGGTTTTTTTTTTTTTTTGGTAGTATGAAGTTTGAACTCAAGGCCTTTGGTGTCACAGGGATTTGAACTCAGGGTCTTATGCTTGCTAGGCAGGTACTCTATTACTTTGGCCACACTCTCACCCTACATTTGTCACTCTTTGTCTCTGATACTTTTCTATGCTATAAAGTCTTCTTTGTCTAAATGTTTATTGAACAACTGAGTATTCTGCAACAATAGTAACTGGTTCATAAAGCAGTTTGAACATATAGACAGTGGGTATTTATTTTAGGATGTGTATGTATTTAAAATATGTTTTATATACTGTTTTCTCCCTATAAAGGGTGTTGAGCATATCTAAAAATCCGTATCATGTAGCTAATGTGGAATTGGCAGAATTTTTTTAAAAATTTTTTTGTGGTACTGGGGCTTAAACTCAGGGCTTCAAGTTTACAAAGCAGGGGCTCACAGCAGATGCTTGCCACTTGAACCTCACCTCCAGTCCATTTTGCTCTTGTTATTATAGAGGTAGGGTCTCCCGGGTTGTTTTACCAGGCTGGCCTCAAACCGAAGAACCTTGATCCTCCTAATCTCAGCCTTCCAAGTAGGTAGGATTATGGCATGAGCCACCAGCACCCCACATGCTAATTACAATTTCAGAAGTGTCTGTCTAGAATTAGATGGCAAAAAGCGAAAGCTTTATCTGAAATCCAAATTTAAGACATTCCGTTGTGGCTGGGCACCAGTGGCTTGTGCCTATAATTCTGGCTGCTTGGGAGGATGAGATTGGAGAAGGTTCAGGTCAACCTGGTCAAATAGTCACTGAGCCCCCCTCTCCAAAATAACTAGAGAAAAATGAACTGGTACAAGATACAAGTGGAAGACTGCCTGCTTTGCAAGAGCTTTTCCCTGAGTTCAACCCCAGTTTCAACAAACATAATAAAAATAAAGAGCTTTACTTTATTAAGTAAAATCCCAAGTTAAGAAACTCCTTTGTAGCTGAGTTCTGGTGACTCGTGCCTGTAATCCTAGCTACTTGGGAGGCTGAAATCAGAGTATCTCAGTTCTAGGCCAGCATGGGCAAATAGTTCATGAGACCCCTCTCAGGAAATAACTGGACATGTCCATTGGGAGGATTGTGGTTCCAGACCAGCATGGGCAAAAGTTAGCAAGACTCCTTGTTGATGACAAAAAAGCCTGGCATGGTGGTACATGGCTATCATCCCTGCTATAAAACAGGAGGATCATGAGACCCCCTAACTCCAACATAACCAGAGCCAAAAGGGCTGGGCCATGTAGCTCAAGTGGTGGAGTACCTACCTAGCAAGTGAAGCCAAGTTCACAACTCAGTACTTCAAAAAAGAAAAGAAGAAATTCCTTTGTTTGTCAATTGCAATAAAACCTGAGAGTGCCATAAAATAGAAGTTATTCAATTATATGCATACCAGGAATTCTCACTATGTGGTGTTTTTCTCTAGTTATTTAATTTTTTTTTCAGTTTACTCAGAGAATCAGCTCAGTTGGACTCTACAAATTAAACCAAGGCTTTTCAGTGAATATAGAGCCATGTGGTTCGAATCCTATAGGATGATCTTTCCCTGTTTGACTAGAATAAAAAGTTACAGGTGAGTTTTTATTACTCTTGTGAATATTTATGTAATTATGTACTATAGTAGTCAGTATTGATTGTATTTAATAAACTGTTGGCATGTAATAATTCATGTGGTTGGTCTAAGGTCAAACCTTTATTTAAATAAGGGTATTATAGGGAAGTGAAAGTACTTCAAGTAATATAGTCTTCTAAAAATAAAATCTGTCTCTGAATTTGGATATTATACTGTATTACTCTATCAACTTTTGGTGGACTTGAAATTTTCCAAATTTAAAAACTACTAGAAAATAAATTAGTGAAACATTTCAGTAAGACTGGGCACCAGTGACTCTTGCCTATAATCCTAGCTACTCAGAAGGCAGAGATCAGGAGGATCACAATTTGAAGTAAGTCACAGCAAATAGTTCGTGAGACCCTATCTCAAAAAAACCCAATTCAGAAAAGAGCTGGCAGAGTGGCTCAAGTGTGAGACCCTGAGTTCAAACCCAGTACCACCGAAAAATAAAATATTTAAATAAATAAAAAGTAGCTTAGTCAAACCACATTTTTACTTTTGAAATTTCTTTTGATTATTGATTTATTTTACTGTGATTGGTCAAAACTGAATGTAATAAAATCTGTAAATAAGGTAGGCTTTGATTCATTCTTACTACCTATAATGTATACTTATTTTCCTTATCATATTTTTGTTGCTCCAAAATCATAAATGTCTGCATTATGCAGCTCAGTTGACCATGAAGAAGTTTTCAGTCAATCTGGAATTATTGTCATTTGTATATAAAACCATTGTGTGATCTGCTGAGTGTTTCCCTGACCTTAATTTTGGGAAAATATGCCTCCCAAAAAGTAAGTGGTACCCCCAAAGCAAAGTAAAAGTTATGGTAATCTTTCCAAGCCAGAAAAAAAGAAAGTCACTTAATATGCTTAATTTAAGTGATAAAACGAAAATTTGAGAGTTGTTAAAAGGTGGCATATCTTTGGCCGAAGTTGAGTGGCAACATGGGAAAAGTGGATCAAGCATCCACAATACAGTACTAAAGTCTATGCATCCTGAACACTTACTGTTTTCCTCAGTGGTGGTTTCCTTGGAACCATATACCCATCCATACCAAGAATTTACTATAATGTCTTTCTATGTTTATATTTTATAAACCATTTTCTAACCTTGTGAAAAATATTGCATAGCATTAATTAAGACCAGCTGTTTTCTAAATGCTTGCTTCTGCATCTTTGAAATTGGATGTGTGTAAAATCATTCTTAGTTAACTGAGCATCTTAGTCAACTGAGCAAATTACCTAATATTATCAATTATAAATTAGTCCTATATTACTGAGTTTGCTTCAAGTATGAAAAAGGAATCTAATAGTCCTAAGATAATATTAAAGAAAAGTGACATTTGAATCTTAAATGAAAAAAAAGTAGTGTAGAATGTATTCTCCATATGTAGCTAAGATAAACAGTGAACATTTAAATGTCGTTACCTTCTCTAACTTGACAACCTTACCATTTTTTACCTAAGCAGACCTTTAGAGTATTTTTCCTTACTGTACTCTGACTTAGAACTCAGCGTGGTGTCTATATAATTTTGGTTTTGTCTCTGTTTATTCTTATTTGTAATAAATAAATAAAAATTGGCAATTGTATGCTTTTCTGGGCCACTTCCTTCATACTACTTATTTGATAAATGTCTCCTGATTTGTTCCAGGAACTGTACTGGTCACTAGAAATAAAATTATATGCAAGATGCTTATTGTCTTCACAGTGCTTATGGTCTAGTGTGAGACAGACATGACCAAATAATTATATAATCCCATGAAGAAGTACAAAGTAATGTAGCAAGTTAAAATAGGGGACTCTGTCTCAGTTTTGAGGATAAAGGAAGACTTCATAAATAAAATTCCATTTAAAGTAAGACATGAAAATGAGAAAGAATTAATTAGGTGTTTGAGGAAGGAAAGTGGAGATGTGAGAAGTATGTTCCAGGCACAGGGGATATATGCGAAGCACCTGAAGAAAGTAAGCATGTCCAGTTTGAAGAACTGAAAGAAGGCCCATGGTGGCTAAGAGTGAGGAGGATGAAGAGAGTAAGAGAAGGTGAGTTTGAAGAGGAAGGAAAGTAGTGACTAAATAATTCTGAACTTTATAGCCATGCTAAGGATTTTAGTCTTTTGCCTAATGCTACTAGGAAGCCATGGAAGCATTTTTTGTGAGAAAATAGCATGATCAGATTTGTATTTGGGAATAACTACCCTAGAATGCATCATGGAGAAGAGATTAGGAAGCGATGAGGTAGGGAACCACCAGCTTAGTTAGCAGCTAGGACAATAGTCAGGAAAGAGATGATGGGAACTTGGAGTAGGATGATAGCAGTAGAAATGGAGTGAAGAAGGTAGAGGCACCTGTATTCAACTTCTGGCTCCACCACCTACTTAATTTCTCTGAGCCTTTCTTTTCTTACCTGCACCCACATTTCGAGCTGTCTGAAGAATTGAGTGAGATGACATGTGCAGAGTTCTGGTATTTAGTAAGTGCTCAATAAATGGAAGCTACTATTACTAATTTTAGATGTGACCCAGAAGGCCAAGTTTTATAAAATTCTGTTTTTAGTTGTAACTTACTTCAAAAGCAAATTAATTTTGTTTCTCTAAGAATATATATATATGTGAATATATATTTGTGTGTGTGTGATTATGAGAAAACTTAGTATTAAACCATAGAAATTGAACAATAAATATATTTAGAATCTAATAAATTAGAATACCTTTCTATACAATTTATCCCATATTATACTTTTTTAATAAAACATTATTTGCCTGACTCTTTGTTTTCCCCTCTTAGGTCTCCTTGGAAAAAATTATATAGTACTTCACAAACCACAGTCGACAGCAAGGAGGTAAAAACCTTCCTGGCCTTGGCTCACAAGTGGTGGGATGAGTATGGAGCTTATGCACCTCTTCATTCTATGAATGACCTAAGGATACCATTTATCAGGTAACATTCTGGGAACTAAGTCTTTACAAATGCAACTCTCTAATTATTGATCTTCTTTTACATTTGTTTTCTTTTGGTTTTACTTAGGTTCAAAATGCTGCATCTTAAGTTTGCTTTGGAAATTAGGGAGATTCTCTTCAATTTGAAACCATTTGAAACCATTAATTTTTAGTAAGATTACCCAAGGTCTAGACGACTTTCATAACTTAACCTGAAGCATTTTGGGTATATCTGTTATTTATAATTAAATTCTTTTGAAAGGAAACTAAGATCCCATGTTACCAAGGCCATTTTTATAGCTACTGACTTGCAATGGCCTCATCGACCTTGAAGCAGTTCTAATAAAGGGAATACTCTGGATACAGATTGATTCAACACATACTTATTTTTTTGAGACCGTACTTTGTATGGAGCTCTGAGGCTATATCCTGAAAGCCACTAAGATTAATGAAACATAGTCCATATGTTTCAGTCTGTGCATTTGCTGTAGGAGATAAAGGCAAGAGTTCACTTATTCATCAAACATTTTTGAGCAGCTGATATAGGCAAGGCACTGTAATGGACACAGAATAACAGAGTTGGACTCTCTTCTCAAGGAACTTCCTGATTGTTTTTTGCTGGTTTATCCAGAATCTGTGCAGTGAAAAGGGGAATATTGACACTTTTTTAGTACCACGGAATTTGTGGATCGCTGAAATACGAAGGCAGAGAAAAACAAGAATATTTACTGTTAGGCTAGATAGCATCAGTATCACCTGGGAACTCATTAGGAATGCAGATTCTCAAGTCTCATCCTAGACCTGTAGCTCTGGGGTGTCAATAATCTGTTCAGTAAATCTTCCAGGTGATTCTGACACATAATAAGTTTGGGAACTCTATTCAAACTACTATCACATCTTTTTTTTTTTTTTTTTTCAATTTTTTTTTTTTTTCATTTTTCTTTTATTATTCATATGTGCATACAAGGCTTGGTTCATTTCTCCCCCTGCCCCACCCCCTCCCTTACCACCCACTCCGCCCCCTCCCTCTCCCCCCCGCAATACCCAGCAGAAACTATTTTGCCCTTATTTCTTATTTTGTTGTAGAGAAAGTATAAGCAATAATAGGAAGGAACAAGGGTTTTTGCTGGTTGAGATAAGGATAGCTATACAGGGCATTGACTCACATTGATTTCCTGTGCGTGGGTGTTACCTTCTAGGTTAATTCTTTTTGATCTAACCTTTTCTCTAGTACCTGTTCCCCTTTTCCTATTGGCCTCAGTTGCTTTAAGGTATCTGCTTTAGTTTCTCTGCGTTAAGGGCAACAAATGCTAGCTAGTTTTTTAGGTGTCTTACCTATCCTCACCCTCCCTTGTGTGCTCTCGCTTTTATCATGTGCTCAAGTCCAATCCCCTTGTTGTGTTTGCCCTTGATCTAATGTCCACATATGAGGGAGAACATACGATTTTTGGTCTTTTGGCCAGGCTAACCTCACTCAGAATGATGTTCTCCAATTCCATCCATTTACCAGCGAATGATAACATTTCGTTCTTCTTCATGGCTGCATAAAATTCCATTGTGTATAGATACCACATTTTCTTAATCCATTCGTCAGTGCTGGGGCATCTTGGCTGTTTCCATAACTTGGCTATTGTGAATAGTGCCGCAATAAACATGGATGTGCAGGTGCCTCTGGAGTAACAGTCTTTTGGGTATATCCCCAAGAGTGGTATTGCTGGATCAAATGGTAGATCGATGTCCAGCTTTTTAAGTAGCCTCCAAATTTTTTTCCAGAGTGGTTGTACTAGTCTACATTCCCACCAACAGTGTAAGAGGGTTCCTTTTTCCCGCATCCTCGCCAACACCTGTTGTTGGTGGTGTTGCTGATGATGGCTATTCTAACAGGGGTGAGGTGGAATCTTAGTGTGGTTTTAATTTGCATTTCCTTTATTGCTAGAGATGGTGAGCATTTTTTCATGTGTTTTCTGGCCATTTGAATTTCTTCTTTTGAGAAAGTTCTGTTTAGTTCACTGCCCATTTCTTTATTGGTTCATTAGTTTTGGGAGAATTTAGTTTTTTAAGTTCCCTGTATATTCTGGTTATCAGTCCTTTGATGTATAGTTGGCAAATATTTTCTCCCACTCTGTGGGTGTTCTCTTCAGTTTAGAGACCATTTCTTTTGATGAACAGAAGCTTTTTAGTTTTATGAGGTCCCATTTATCTATGCTATCTCTTAGTTGCTGTGCTGCTGGGGTTTCATTGAGAAAGTTCTTACCTATACCTACTAACTCCAGAGTATTTCCTACTCTTTCTGTATCAACTTAAGAGTTTGGGGTCTGATATTAAGATCCTTGATCCATTTTGAGTTAATCTTGGTATAGGGTGATATACATGGATCTAGTTTCAGTTTTTTGCAGACTGCTAACCAGTTTTCCCAGCAGTTTTTGTTGAAGAGGCTGCTATTTCTCCATCGTATATTTTTAGCTCCTTTGTCAAAGATAAGTTGCTTATAGTTGTGTGGCTTCATATCTGGGTCCTCTATTCTGTTCCACTGGTCTTCATGTCTGTTTTTGTGCCAGTACCATGCTGTTTTTATTGTTATTGCTTTGTAATATAGTTTGAAGTCAGGTATTGTGATACCTCCTGCATTGTTCTTTTGACTGAGTATTGCCTTGGCTATTCGTGGCCTCTTGTGTTTCCATATAAATTTAACAGTAGATTTTTCAATCTCTTTAATGAATGTCATTGGAATTTTGATGGGAATTGCATTAAACATGTAGATTACTTTGGGAGTATCGACATTTTTACTATGTTGATTCTACCAATCCATGAGCATGGGAGATCTCTCCACTTTCTATAGTCTTCCTCAATCTCTTTCTTCAGAAGTGTATAGTTTTCCTTGTAGAGGTCTTTCACATCTTTTGTTAGGTTTACACCTAGGTATTTGATTTTTTTTGAGGCTATTGTAAATGGAATTGTTTTCATATATTCTTTTTCAGTTTGTCATTGTTAGTGTATAGAAATGCTAATGATTTTTCTATGTTGATTTTATATCCTGCTACCTTGCTATAGCTATTGATGATGTCTAGAAGCTTCTGAGTAGAGTTTTTTGGGTCTTTAAGGTATAGGATCATGTCGTCTGCAAATAGGGATATTTTGACAGTTTCTTTACCTATTTGTATTCCTTTTATTCCTTCTTCTTGCCTAATTGCTCTGGCTAGGAATTCCAGTACTATGTTGAATAGGAGTGGAGATAGTGGGCATCCTTGTCTGGTTCCTGATTTTAGAGGGAATGGTTTTAATTTTTCTCCGTTAAGTATAATGCTGGCTGTAGGTTTGTCATATATAGCTTTTATAATGTTGAGGTACTTTCCTTCTATTCCTAGTTTTCTTAGAGCTTTTATCATGAAATGATGTTGGATCTTATCAAAGGCTTTTTCTGCATCTATTGAGATGATCAAGTGGTTTTTGTCTTTGCTTCTGTTAATGTGGTTTATTACGTTTATTGATTTTCGTATGTTGAACCACCCCTGCATCCCTGGGATGAAGCCTACTTGGTCGTGGTGAATAATCTTTTTGATGTGTTGCTGAATTCGGTTTGCCATTATTTTGTTGAGGATTTTTGCATCAATGTTCATTAAGGAGATTGGCCTATAGTTCTCCTTTTTGGAGGTGTCTTTGCCTGGTTTTGGGATAAGTGTAATACTGGCTTCATAAAATGTGTTTGGCAGTTTTCCTTCCCTTTCTATTTCATGGAACAGTTTAAGGAGGGTTGGTATCAGTTCTTCTTTAAAGGTCTGATAGAATTCAGCAGAGAATCCATCAGGTCCTGGACTTTTCTTTTGGGGAGACTCTTGATTGCTGCTTCAATTTCATTTTGTGTTATAGGTCTATTCAGGTGATTAATTTCCTCTTGGTTCAGTTTTGGATGATCATATGTATCTAGAAATCTGTCCATTTCTTTAGATTTTCAAATTTATTTGAATATAGGTTCTCAAAGTAGTCTCTGATGATTTCCTGGACTTCCATGGTGTTTGTTGTTATCTCCCCTTTTGCATTCCTGATTCTACTAATTTGGGTTTTTTCTCTCCTCATTTTAGTCAGGTTTGCCAGGGGTCTATCGATCTTGTTTATTTTTTCAAAGAACCAACTTTTTGTTTCATTAATTCTTTGTATGGTTTTTTTGGTTTCTATTTCATTGATTTCAGCTCTTATTTTTATTATTTCTCTCCTTCTATTTGTTTTGGGATTTGCTTGTTCTTGTTTTTCTAGGAGTTTGAGATGTATCATTAGGTCATTGATTTGGGATCTTTCAATCTTTTTAATATATGCACTCATGGCTATAAACTTTCCTCTCAAGACTGCCTTAGCTGTGTCCCATAGGTTCTGGTAGGTTGTGTTTTCATTTTCATTGACTTCCAGGAACTTTTTAATTTCCTCTTTTATTGCATCGATGATCCACTCTTCATTAAGTAATGAGTTATTTAGTTTCCAGCTGTTTGCATGTTTTTTGTCTTTTGTTGTTGAGTTCTACTTTTACTGCATTGCTACTATCACATCTTTATATGGACCTTATTTGGTCCAAATATGAGGATCTTATTTGGATCCTCTAGGATGGCGCAAACTATGGTTGCAAATTTTAGCTTTCTTCTCAGCATCACTGGAAACCATAAGAGGGGAGTAGTAAGGTCTAAGTATGATACACAGAGTCATATTTTGATTGAAAAATGGATCCAACTTAATTTTTAATGGTTCCTTCCTATCCATTATAAAATCCCAAAGTGATGTACTTAACTACTGTCTGGGATATTCTAAGAATTCAACTCATTTTAATATAAGATATAACCTAAGGGCTTCATTTTATATATAATATTTATTTTTCATAAAAATAGTCCAGTTTAAAAGCTTAATTATAGTTATTTGTTTACATGTTCAAATGTGAAAGCACCACTAATTTAGAAAATTAAAAGAGACTTACTTAAGAAGGTACTATAGACAACTTCTGTAAATACAGGTCTTCTATCTGCTTCTTTTAAGCTCTGTGAAATAACCATTTGTTGTTGACATAAAGTGGTTTTAGCAAGAACTGACAGCATAGTCAGTAGATATTTATATTATATTTGTATTCACACTGTTGAGACAGTTTGGTTCAACAAGTATCTGAATAAAGCTAGGTTACTCTTAACGAGAGTATTTTGAAAATGTTTCTATTATTACTAAAGCAATAATTAAGGCATAATTACTAAGGGATTATTTTGGAGCTTTGCTCTTAAACTTTCTGTTTTTGATTATTGAAAATACTGTATGAATTATGTATAAGTTATTTAGTTCTAAAAATAAAAGACCTATTTATCCAAAAATCTCAATAATCCACTTAAAATGGTGACTAAGAGCCAGGCTTGGTGACACATTTTCTGTAATCCCAATCTTTGAAGACTAAGGCAGGAGGATTGTGAGTTTGAGTCTAGCCTGGGCTATATAATGAGATGGAAAAAAAGAAGGTAAATTAATTAATTAGATAAAGTAAAGATTAACATATTCTTAAAAATTGTATATTTTTAAGGTGTTTTACTGGTAAAAATTAATCATTTATTTTTACATATTTTGAATTTTTAAAAGAGACAATCTTTTGAAAACAGTTGCTAATCACCAGCCAGGAAAGCCTTTGTCAGCGATGAAGATTCTTGATGTTGGCTGTGGTGGTGGATTATTAACTGAAGTAAGTGATTTACAGCTTTTTGGCCAGTTTTAACTGGGAAAAAAAATTGAAAAGTGTTTTTATGCCTCATTTTGGCCTAACAAATAATCCTGTTTATTTTTAAATGAGTAATGTTGATTCTAATCTTTTTGTGATTATAAAAGTAGTATATGCGCTTTAAAATTAGAAAATATATAAAAATTTCAAGAAATTTTAGTGAAGTTTTTTTTTTTTAATAAAAAATAAGAATGGGTCATTCAAATAGCTTTGTGTGATTTCTTATGTCCCAAAAAATTAGGCAGTTTCTACTGTAAATCAATTTTAGGCTATCCTTTTACACTTTTTTTCAGTAACAACACCTCAACGGTTTTGTTTACTTGTGGGACTCTTTCCTTGTTAGTGATTTAGACTACTTGGAAGAGTAGTCATTTTTCCTATGAAGTCTTTTTTCCTATGGCTTTAGCTGATAGTAAATTTTGCACCTTACAGTGCTACTTTGAATCCTTGTATCAACACAGAAACTTTTTATTGTAATGTTAAATCATAATTTGATACCAAAAGATTATTTTCAGTAACCAGGTAGCAGGTGGTTCATGCTGAGATCAGGAGGTTTGTGGTTCAAGGCCAGCCTGAGAAAATAATTCAAGAGACCTGATCTCCAAAATAACCAGAGTAAAATGGACTAGAGGTATGGCTCAAGCAGTACAGTGCCTGCTTTGCAAGCACAAAGCCCTGAGTTCAAACCCAAGGTCCATTAAAAAAAAAAAAAAGATTTTCTAGCAACAGTGGAGGATTCAGAAGTGGTGAGGCTCAATGGGATGTGGTACTGCTGAAGTCCATTTAACTCAGCCAAGTTGACAGTGAGACTAATAGAGGCCTTTGATGCACAGTTAAGTTCCTATATGCACAAAAGCATGTTTTTTTGTTTTTTTGTTTTTTTATGATGAAAAGAAAGCATGTTCTTTATCTGGCAGTGGGCTGGTTTCTTTTGACCTCAATCATAAAATTTCAGGAAACCTAAAATATGTGAAAATATATCCCTTAAGATCAAGAATATGTGGTGTACAAATTTCAGATGGCTAAGATTTTACCATGTGTTCAGTAGTTTGCTTAGTGTACTGTTTCTTATGTCTCTAAAGTGAAAATAATGTGACATACTTTTAGCCTATTGATTAACCTTATCTAATGTAAATACCGTGCAGCTTTGGTTAAAATTAAACATGTATTTAAATACTTTGGCATGCCATGGGAAGTGTCCAGATATGAAAGCCAAACAAAGAATTAGCTATGAAAAGTTATTTCTAGGGGCTCAGGATGCAGCTCTGCGTTTAATACCTAGTACCATAAAAGAAAAGAAAACTCTTAAAATAAAAATACTAATTAGAAAGTCTGAATATTTCCAAAATGATAGCTGCCTTTACCATGGCATGTTATATTCATTATATTTTAAATACATTAAAACTGTACTACATGCATATAAATTTAAGTTTGTTATTTTTGTCTCACTTTTAAACTTTTTATTATGAAAAATTTCAAACATACACAAACTAGGGAAAATGGTATATGAACCCAAGTACCCATAAATGATCTCAAGTAATTATCATCTCATGGTAATGTTGTTACATTTTTGATAAGCTGTTTATTATCAACATGTGTTCTGTTTTTTTCATGAGAATAATGCTTTTTATGCCATTAGCCTCTAGGGCGACTAGGGGCTTCAGTTATGGGAATCGATCCTGTGGATGAAAACATTAAAATAGCACGGCATCATAAATCATTTGATCCAGTCCTAGATAAGAGGATAGAGTACAGAGTCTGTTCTGTGGAAGAGATTGTGGAAGAGACTGCAGAAACTTTTGATGCTGTGATAGCTTCTGAAGTTGTAGAACATGTGATTGAACTAGAAACATTTATACAGTGCTGCTGTCAAGTGTTAAAAGTAAGACTTACAAAATTTACCTGTTTGTTTTTTGTTTTAAGTTTGTGTATGTATCCATAGCAACAAAATGTTCCATAATGCAGACAAGGTATAGGAGAGAAAGAACCAAGAAGCAAGAGCTGGGAGACAGCATTTCTGCTGAAGATCACATCTGCCTCTCTGATTGCCCTCAGTATTTATTTATTTTTTATTTATTTATTTATTTATTTGTATGTATGTACATGTATATATATATTTATATATATATACATATATACACAAAACAGTTTTCAGCTTCTGAAAGAGTTCTGCTCCTTTATACATATGATCTTACTTAATATTACTTACAGCCAGGTGAGGAATGAAAGGCAGGATTTGTGAATATCACTGGGCCTTGAGGTTAAAGGTCACTGGCTCTTAGGTGGGACTTAAGGCTAGAATTTTTTATTCCAAGTCTGGTTTTTCTCATCACTTACTATGCTTATGTAATTTGCCACAGTTTTAGTCCTCTAAATGTGGTTTCAAATTTTCTTTTAATAAATATCCCTAAATTACCAGTTGCATTGTTATTTTAACTGGTGTTTATATATTTAAGATGTAGCACCCTAATGTCAGAAGCTAAAAGAATGAAATGCTTACCCCATATCTAAATAGAACTCTTAAAAAAGAAATCTTTATTTTAAATCAATTTTAGATTTGTAACATTAGATTAGATATTCATGAGCGATTCATAAGAAGGTATCTTGGAATATTAGAGTTTTGCAGAGAAAAGTTACAATGTGTAATGATGTAGTGTAATATTTCAGTTTTTAATTTAAGAGCACACCCCAATATTTCTGGGTCTCCACTTACCTTTTTTATTTTTGATTTGGGATGATAGTTGAGGTAAATTATCTTTTTCCCCATCATACATGCAGAGAGAGTAATATGATTATTTTGGAGGAAATGTTTGGCATTGTGTCCCTATCAGGCTAATGAGAATGTGTAAGGAGGGAAGGAATATTAATGTCCTTGCTGTTTTTGAGACTAAAAATAAAAATAAATATAAATATAGTCATTAAAAAATTATAGACTAAATAGTCCCATAAATGGTTTGCGTTTGTGTCTATCTTAATCTCTTCATAATCTTTTTGAAAGCAAATCACATCAAAACAAAAAACATTTAACCCGTAATCATTAATGTTTTGATCAGAGCACACTTAACTGCCAAGTGCTGCCCTGTACAAGATGTGTAGCTCTGTCCTTCATCAAACATGTTAGATAGGCTTAGCTCCTGAGGGATAATGAATAGAAAATATCCTATATGTTAGAATAGAAACATGGACATGTAACAAGCAAGAACAGCCTGATCTCATTTCTATATTTTATTGTACCATATTTGATATGTACAAAAGAATATATCTGTGTCATAAATGTGTCATAGTAATGCATGATTTTACGAGTTGTAAGCCCTGTTGTGTAGACTGAACGAGTGAGTCTGTAATAGATTGCCTAAATAGTGGATTTCCTAAGAAGAAAAAATATGATTTTGGTAAATTATGTTTTATTTATATTTATGTATATTAACCATATTTAAATCATTTGGAAAGGAGGAGGAGAAAGTGGGAAGCCAAGTCTTTTTCTGATACTTGTAACCTTTTAAATTTTACTTCTAGATAACTTTACTTCTATATAATTTTGCTTCTTTTTAGCCTGGTGGTTCTTTATTCATTACTACAATCAACAAAACACAACTGTCCTATGCCTTGGCAATTGTTTTTTCAGAGCAAATTGCAGGTTTTGTGCCAAAAGGTACTCATATGTGGGAGAAGTTTGTTTCACCTGAGAAGCTAGAGAGCATTCTGGAATCAAGTAAGTATGAAGAAATTTTTCCAGTTTTCAAGCCCTAAAGTAAATTAATGCACCTATAATTATTAATGCACCTATAATTATTAATCACACAGTCTAGCACTTAATTAAACACTGTTTAATCACTGTTTTTTTGATGCTGGTTTCATGTCTTCAGCTATATCATAAACTTCTTGAAGTTAGACTTAAGAAGTAGACACCACTTCTTTCTTACCTGACACCTAACCCAGTGCCAACCAAATAATAGATGATCAGTGAATAGTTTTTAGTTATTTAGTACTCATTTGTTTAAGGATGAGGTACAAATATCTATTGCTAACATATAGTTTGCCCTAACAAGTCCTGCTCGTATTGGCTTATCTTACATACTGTTTTTCCTGGTTCTTCTATATATTCTATATATTTTGAACTTACATGTCACTTTTTATATATTTTTATGTTACCTATAGTACACCTTATATTATGGTTATTTTCACTTTTTCTGGCCTGTAAGCTCTTTGAAGGCACAATTATGTCTCCTTCTTGTACGCTATGCAGTGCCTCACTCTGCTTTACATACAACAAACACACAATTTATGTGTTGAATTTCTGACAGTGTTTCTTAGTTCATTTATTTGGCATTTGCTATTCTTGTTGAGTAGTTGGATTCATTTTGTTTGTCATGCTTTTTGTTAATATAACAATAATCAACAATGTAGTAAGTTCTAGAAATTTCTGTAACTTTGTTGAAATAGAGTAGAAAAAATATTTTAAAGATACTTTATGGACACTGAATGCCAGTGGCTCATGCCCTAATCCTAGCTACTTGGGAGGCTGAGATAGGAAGATCAAGGTTCGAGGCCAATCTGGGCAAATAGTTCTCAAGAGCCCATCTCTAAAAATAACCAGAGTGAAAATGGACTGGAGGTATGGCTCAAGTGGTAGAGCATCTGCTTTATAAGTGTGAAGCCCAGAGTTAAAACCCCAGTCCTCTTTCCCCCAAAAAGAAAAGATACTTTGTGGAACCTATCTCTGTTGATGGATGTTTTCTAATCACAGCTAGTGTTTACGAGTAGTTAACCAAATTCCAGACGCTGAGCTACTTTACACACATTCTTCCTCTAATTCCAGAAGCTCTATGATATAGATTCTATACATGTGAGAAAACTGAAGTCTGGTCTGTACATGGTTACAAAGTATTTTTGCTCACTTAGCCATTCTTAATTAATTTGAAGGGTGTGGGTGACTTTTGGTCCTTGGAAGGCAAATGTTTATTAAGTCCATGCTTGCTTCTATTTTTTCAGATGGTCTGTCAGTTTTAACTGTGGCAGGAATGCTCTATAACCCCTTCTCAGGTTATTGGCATTGGAGTGAAAATAACAGCCTTAACTACGCAGCCCATGCTGTGAGATGCATGGTACAGGAACACCCAGGGCCTGCTGAGTTTGTTTTAATGGGTGAAACAGAACTCCATGGTAATGCTTCCACCAGTGCAGGTGTGCGTGAAGAGCTGAAGAAATGAATAATTTCTGAGGACTGTAGTAACATGACTTAGAAGTCTAATGTTCACGAATTTAAAAAATACAGTTTTTCTTTAGAGAAAGAATCATGAAGATAAGGTCAACCAAAAGGGCTAAATTCTTGAGCAAAAGTTCTTATGTTATTTAATAGCTACTTTTCAGGGATTTTGTGGACAAGATTTTTTTTGTGTGTGAATTAAGTTTTATCAAGGTATTGTGTGATCTAGGAGTTCCTCAGTCTTTGATATATAAAAAGGGTATGCATATTTCATCTTACAGATTATACATTTTTCCAAAATATGCCTATATATGCTATTATTTATTTTAACTTAATAAGAAATCTGTATTATCTGTTTCCCTCTTCATTTGGTTTTGATAAAGTCAGTAATGCTCCTGGCTGATAAAAACCAACCACATTTTTGTATCACTTATACTTGGGAAGATAAAATATATTTTTCCTTTAACTTTGTTGGAAAGCTGAGTTGTAAGTATGTACTGGATTTGAATTCAGACATTAAAATCAAGAAGTTGAGATTATGTTAGACACATTTTTGTGTACAGTTTCTAAAATCTTTATGGTGCTTTTTTTTAAATAGAAAGAACTTTTTAAAACTTAATTTAAAAATCAGTTATGAAAATTTTCTTTTTCAGATAATATTTTTACAGTTAAAAGGGCTGACTTGAAATACATATTTTTGCTTCTGCACATGTTACAAGTCTGGCTTTTCTCAAAGTCCAGATCTTGTATAAGGACATACAGACGCAGGGTATGTGTGGATTGAAAGCACGTGACCCTTGTAGAAGTCAGCTTTTCTAGCTTTTACTTGTACATTTTCAACTCATAAGTTTTCTGTATTCATTTGTCAATCTCTAGTGACAAACACTTCCTATCTTATCATTTGTTCTCAAAGGTATTTGTAGGAAGGAAACTGTAATTTAAAGAATTAGAAGAGAAATTTTAATAACAGGTATCCCTGGCTTATTAGGGGACTAAAAAACTAGGAGTTTTATTAGCTATCATTTAAAACTTTGATCCTTAGGCTAAATTCTAATGGTTTTCTTACCAAAATAAAGCCACCGCAATCTATCTTTTGGAACAAAAAGTATTGGTAGTAAAGAAAGAGATTATGAATGTTCACAATTACTGAATATATACATTGTTAAGTGATGAAAGTTGAGGATGGTTCAGTAATAACTGCTTCTGTGTCTTATTTCCTATGGGAATAAAGAGATAAAAATATTGTACCCCTGTGTATACTCTAATTTGAGCTTATAGGCCAATTTCAACCCAGTTCCAAGGAAAACAGGCTCAAAAGACATTATGATTTTTATAACTGTATGTGTAAACTTCTACAGCTTGAATAGCTCTAATTTCCAGAGTCACCTACTTTTGAAAAAATAGTAAATAATATTTAGGGTGATCGTAGGGCATTTAATCTATAAAACTTCCCTCAGAAACTCTGGGTACATGAGAGTCCCCTTCAAGAAACAATATGGAAACTTTAGGGCTGATAGTCCAACAAGAGATTGTATGTTGTTTTAGGAAGAAAAAGAATAAGGCAAGAGAGAACAGAAAAATGGATTTGCTTGGGATCTTGGTCTGAAGTTAGAGGAAACTGAGAGGTGACCTGTGCCACCTAATTTTCTTGAAGGGAGTCAGATTTCTCAATATTGGTCTGTCTAGTTTTCTTTATTTCAGAACAATTCTTCCATCTTTCTTTGACATTCATGACTTTGACAACTGAAGAGCACTGGAGTGTTATTTAGTTATCAAGTTGTATTGTTACACTGCAACTTTTAAATTTTCTTCATGATTAAATTCAACTATTACATTTTTGTAAAGAATTCCACAGAAGTGATATTGTGCCCTTCTCAGTGCATTCTGTCAGGAGACAACATGGTATCTCATTGTCTTGTTACTTACTGGTGAACTGGTGATGTTAACTTTCATCACTTGATTGATTAGTGTGTACTAGATTTCTTCATTATAAAGTTACTACTTTTCCCTTGGTAATAGATAAATATTTTATAGCATAATGCCTTGAAAATATTTTAAATATTCTATTTTTCTTCATATTTTCCCTACTAGTTTTATTGCCTATTTATAATTCTTACTTGAAACGATGACTATGGTGTTATCTAATGGTAGTTTTATTCTCTTTTTCTACACTTATTAATGGAATTCTGCTAAAAGGAAATGCTACCCTTTTTCCATGCACTTATTTATTCATTTTTATATTGGACTCATGTATATTTGTTATCTTCTATGAATTATAAATCCATTACTGTGCTTTTTGTTACATTGTTCCAGATTTCACCATTGAGAGCCTCTCTTGTGTCCTTCCATGTTCTCATAATTTTAGAACATACCCTTACTTTCTGGTAGTACAAGAGTGTCCAAGGTTGATCCATATTTTTCCTCATCCAGTCCTGGATTCAGGAGTCCCTATCCCTTTTCTTGGAGAATGAAATTTAGAAACCAAGATCTGAGTACTTATAAGGAGTGCTTATAAGACTAGCCAGCTGGATGCCAGTGGCTCACGCCTGTAATCCTAGCTATTTGGGAGGCTGAGATTGAGAGGATCGAGGTTTGAGACCAGTCCAGACAAATAGTCCATGAGACCTTCATCTCCAAAATAACCAGAGCAAAATGGACTAGAGATGTGGCTCAAGCAGTAGAGCCTGCTTTGCAGTGTAAATCCCAAAGTTCAAACCAGGTCCCATCAAAAAACAAAACAAAACAAAGAAAAAAGAGAGAGAGAGAGAGAGAGACTGGCCTACTTTAGGTTTAGGATGGCATGATAATATAAGGATGAAGATAGTTAAGGGGCAATGGTAGATACCCAGATCTTTATTTGCTCAGTACCCTTCTCTTGTCCATTTGGTGAGTCACTGACCCTCTTTTAAGACTCAGTCTAAATATCACTTCTCTGTGAGTCTGTTTCTGACTAGCTCCCCATCTCAGGTAGAATTGACTGTTCACATCTTAGAGCTACCTCCTTTCCATTCCCTCTTCCCTCAATCTGATACTCTGTATTTATTCTGGTAAGTATGTTTGTAATATTTTAGTGCTCTTAACTCTGTTGGAAAACTGTTCCTAGCACTCTGGAGGATGAGGAAGAAGGATCTCAAGTTCAAGGCCTACCTGGCTACATAGTGCATCTAATGCCACCGTGGGGGATATAGCAAGACCCTGTCTCAGAAAACAAGAAGGAAGAGAGAGAAAAAGAGAGAGCCAGAGAGAGATTTAGTTAGTTAGTTAGTTAGTTGTCTTATCTCTATATATCTTATTATATCTGACACATAAGTCCATTATAAAATAAGAGTTGAAATGAATAACTACTTGTCTTACTAGATCCAACTCAAAACGGAAGTATAGCAAGGCAACAGTGTCTCATGCAGATCGCAGTTTGAAGCCAGCCGAGGCAAATAATTCACGAGACCCTATCTCAAGAAACCCATCAAAAAAGGACTGGTCAAATGGTTCAAGGTATAGGCCCTGAGTTCAGGCTACAGTACCACAAAAGAAAGAAAAAGCAAGTATACCCATAAAATGAAATCAAGGTATAGGGGTCCACAATCTAGGTCATAGTCAATTTCCCTCAACTTTGAGATATTCCTGTTCCCTTTTAGCTTTGCCTCTACTTTCTTCTTTAACTGATCTATTCAGTCATTCATATGGAAAATTAAAGGCACTTGTATTGCCTTCAGTGAGATGGCTCATTCAGTCAAGCAGCCACAGTAAAAGCTAAAAACATTAATATAAAAATTTCAAACAGATTATTTGCTGGATGCCAACACCACCCAACAGATTAGTTACTCATTACAAATGAATAAATATTCCTTTAAAATAGAAATATTAAACTTAGCATCACTTACAATGGGACGGGTTAACATTATATCCTCCTGATATGGTATTTTCTTGCTAAAAGTATTGAAAGCTAATGAAACTTCTAGGCCTGTTTCTATAAATAAAGGACAGTGGGGAATAAACTGAAAGAAACCACAAGAGGAAAGCCAAATCCAGAATGTGAAACATTCTACACATTAATAGGCTTGTACTGAGAGGTTAAAAATGACCCACACAGTGCATGATCATTCTGGACAGAAGAAACAAAATCAGCACAACAAAACATATTTAAAATATGTTTGAGACAATTGGAGAAATTTAAATATGATTTGGATGTGTACTGTTTGTGAAGTAACATTGTGGAATTACAATTTTTCTAATACCTGATAATATGTCTATAAAGAAAATGTTTTTGTTCTTAGGAACTCCTGGTGAGGGGTAAAATATCTGCGAACTTTGTTCAAAGAGTTTTATTTATCTGTTTGGTGGTAGTGGTACTGGGGTTTGAACTCAGGGTCTCATGCTTGCTAGGGCAGTGCTCTACCACTTGAGCCACTCCACCAGCCCTTTCTTATGTGGGTATTTTTGAGATAGGGTCTTTCAAACTATTTGCCTGGGCTGGAGGATTGAATTGCTTCAAACTGTGTATCCTCCCCTGATCTCTACCACCTGAAGAGCTAGGATTACAGGCATTAGAAACTGGCACCTGGCTAAAGGGTTTTAAAAAGTGAAAATGTGGGCTGGTGGTATGGCTTATGTGATAGACCTCTAGCCTAGCAAGTGTGATGCCCTGAGTTCAAACCCCAGTAGTGCCAAAAAATGAAAACAAGCCATATTGTTAGAAAAGGATAACAGGAAAATGAGAATAATTAAAGACAGGTAGATGAAATACTTTTTAGAACTTTAGAACTTTTCTGTGAATGTGTTCTTGCTTATATGTAAACACAGAACATACATGTAGCAAAATGTTAAAACTGGTGAATCTAAGTGAAGAAATCATTGTATCCCTCAACTTTTCTGTAAGTTTGAAATCTTTCAAAATCAAAAAGAGCAAAAAACATTAGTGAAATTGTAATTTCTATTGGTAAAGGAAAAAAAAAAAACCCTGCATCACTGAATGTAAAATTCTGCCTCATACTGTTTTTGAGAAAGAATTCATAAATGGCTTTTGTCACTTATGTAATTCTTTGAATTTATGAGGTGCCCGGACATATACTAAATGCTGTGCACACAGAATCTCACTGTACCCTCACAACAGCCTCATGAGGAGGGGAC